ATTAACACATAAGGGGTCTTTGGATACCAGCAGTGGTGGAGGAAGTACTGAATCTCAGTAATTAAGTAAAAGTACAAATACCCAGATAAATATTTACTTTAGTAAAAGTAGAAGTAACACAATGACAACCATACTTAAGTAAAAAGTAAAAAGTACTTTATTTTAAATGTACTTTAAGTATTAAAAGTAAAAGTACTTGCATAACAATTTATTATCTTAATGTCTATTTTCTAATGATTAATAAAACATTCAATTCTAACTCATTCAACCTAATAGCCTACTCTGGAAAAAAAATGTCACCATTTCTGAAACAAGCTTGCAATTAGGCAATGGGCTATATGCACGCATAAGTTCCGCATTTGACGTAAGGATGCTCGCCCATTTCCGGTTGTGTAGATTAAAGCGGAGGAAAACCGGAGAAAACGGGATTATGGCAGAGTCTTCAAAATTTACTGACCTCCCGTCTTTGAAACGAAACGTTCATACGTTTAGATGTAATTTTATATATAGTTATGTTTATTTAATATAATTTTAAAAAGAAGCATAAACACAACGAGGGGTGTCCGTTTTATCTGTTTTTGTGACTAACGTTTCTTTAGTATAACCATGGAGTATAAAATTTAATATAAATTCTCGGTATTGCATTGGACTCTACGATCGGCGGAAGTTGTCGAGCATCCTTAATCCTTCACCGGAAATAACGCCGTGCATAGAGCCCATATCATGCTTATCCTTACTATATGTTAATATGTTTGGCAGTAAACGCGATTCATTTATGGTGTAATTCTGAACCTCTTGGCTTGCCATAATCCTAACCAAACCAAACATATATTACACACGGTGTGTTTCCTATGCACGTAAAAAACAAATTTTCGCGTATGAGTTGCATGATAAACACACTGCGTGTGAGACGCATTTAGTGTGACCGGGTTGATGTACTGTATCTATGGCAACCAAACGTCACTGGTGAGACAAACGTGCAACGAACGGACGGTCAGATTACGTTTTGGCAGGGGAAAAACTGATCAGAAAATGTAACGAAAATGTAACAGAAGTTGTAGAAATGTAGTGGAGTAGAAAGTATAATAATTGCTGCAAAATGTAACGAAGTAAAAGTAAAAAGTATGCACTATTTATTGTACTTAAGTAAAGTAAAGATACGTGAAAAATGTACTTAAGTAAAGTAACGAAGTGTTGGGGAAGCTACTCTGAAACTGTAGTTTGACAAGCTACAAGCTACTCGTAAGTTAAAGTAGGCCTAGTTAAACTACAGTCAAGCTACTCTTTTGGAAAAGTAGTTAGCTACACTACAAGTTACTATCAAAAAGTAGCTAGCTACATTGAAACTACTTTTGCTTTTTTGAACAACGTATTATTAACAACTGAATAAGTGTCTGAGGACAGAAGGGGACAACAATAGTTTTTGAAATCATCATTTTATTGCATTGTTTTAAACACTAAAACAATGCAATAAAATGATGATTTCAAAAACTATTGTTTTATTACACACAACACCCAAATATCTCAGATTGTTTGTCAAAAGCATAGCTGTCAACATTGAACATTGAAAATAAGTGAGATTTCCCGAAATCCATCCCCAAAATAAGGTATTTTTTTTCTTTTACACAATTCTTACCCTCAAACTTTAAAAATAAAGCATTAACCATTAAAAGTCTAAAGAGTTTATAATTAGCCTACATATATGTGAGAGAGAAAGAGACTGAATGTCATTTAAAAAAAATCTTAGAGCATGTTTAGATACTCTAATATCAGCTTATGAGGGAAACCGACGGGCTTTGGGGAAACAGAGGGGGAGTTAGTGCTGATGATTGGGAGAGGTCTGTGCACCTTTACCGTTCAGAGCGCGCGCTGACACGGCCTTTAAGGCCAATTTATACTTCTGCGTAGGGTGCGCGCAGTAGGTACGGCGTACCATACGCACAGACGCGTCCCATACCGCGTACCCTTCCGCGTTGCCTGACGCGCACCTCTTCAAAAATGTAACTACACGTCGCGACGACGCGGACCGCAAGATCGGTGATTGGTCGTCTTGGTAGCATCGTATTTCCTCATACGCATTTCCGCACGTACCTTCTCACGCATTTACACACGTACTATCTTCTCCGACGTCTTCTCTCATTTCTGCCTTTCAGTTTTAGTAATTTCACTAAAATTAACTGTTTTTCCACCCCAATAAGCTCCAACTCCAACATGATCCACTCTCTTTCAGTCACTATTGCTTGTAGTAACCTAGCCGCGAGGAATATAAACACAGTGGAACATTAAAACCCTCCGCCGCCTCCTAGCGTTTCGGAGCAGTACTGCAGAGCAACCAATACCTGAACGCAGAAGTATAAATGCTCACAACGGCGTCGCCTACGTGCGAAGCCAACGCCGTATACTACGGCGTACCCTCGACGCAGAAGTATAAATTGGCCTTTATACTCGACGCGTCCGCACAAAAATGGCGCGTTGGGTGCGCAAGACCGGCAAGACCTCATTTCGCATGGCTATTTAGGCTACAGCTTTTTTCTTTTTTTTTGTGACCGCACGCGCGGCGCCGCGTCCGAGAATGAACTACTTCAAGCCGAATCTTTCCAAGCTTGTACGTCTCACACAGTCAAAGCGTAAAAATACGGGATATTTTACGGGAAAATACTAAAACAGCAAGACAGCGGGAAAAGGGCTAAAATACGTGAGAAACACGGAAAAAACGGGAGGGTTGACAGCTATGGTCAAAAGTGCAAAATTGTAACCAATAGGCTACAATATTGCAAGAAAAAAATATACATCCAACGTAAATTGCATGTAGAACATTTTCTCAAAAATACAGATTGAACTTGGACAAATAAGGCCATGGGTAATTAACGTTAGTTGTTTCTCCATCCTCCAAATCTGCTGTCACATCTTGCTCCATCATCATGTGTGTGTCAACACACTTCTGTACGTCAGTGAACTGTTAGCCGCAGATGTGTGATTAAACAACAGGTGGCGGTGATGGCAAAAAAATGAGTTTGTAATCTAACAAGAAGAAGAATATCCTAGCAGCGCGCTGATTCGCGCAGGCTCGACAAACACAATGTAGCTTTTGCTCGAGCTACACCGCTACTTGCTGCAAAAAGTAGTTAGCTACTGGAAAAGCTACACTGTTTAAAAAGCAACTGAGCTACTGCCAAGCTACTCAAAAATGTAGTTAAGTTAGTAGCTTCGCTACTTGTAGTTAACTACTCCCCAACACTGAGTAACGAAGTATTTGTACTTCGTTACATTCCACCACTGGATACCAGACAAATGAAAGTTTGATCTGTTCATGTGATTCCAGCGTTTGCAACTGACACATTCAATCTAAAAATACAATAAAATTACATTTACAACAAACCTGTATAGTAGATTAAATACACTACCATGTTTAAAACAAAAGTGTACATAAAAGTGTCTGCTTTGTCTGGTGTACAGGGATATTTATTGGCACAATCCTCTTCTTTGGAAAAGAATCAAGGTTAGATTGGCTAGTGTAGGGTTATCACATGCATAATTCATTATGGCTTAAGATAATCATTAAAGCACATTCACATGTTTTCATGCATGTGTAAAATTTTGGAAACATATTACATAACACTAGACATTCAAGTCTACCCAGATTAGAAGAGCTTCTGCACTCTAGGAAAGTTTACTGCTGCCTTCACCACATTAGTTTACAGTTAATATTATTATACTACCATACATTTTGGCAGACCAATGTTTTGAACTTTTTTCTTCTTAAGTGTTTGAAACAGAAGCGAAGACTAGGAGACTCGGGTGTATCTTTTAAGCAGGATTCTTTATTGAGAACACAAGCTGTGGGTAGCTGCAATCATTCGTCAAGTCTGTTTCGTCCAAAAATCTTACCCAAGTCTGGCCTAAGCCAAAATACCTTGTGTTCATATAGCTTACAAGGGGGAGGGGTTACATAGAGGTGGAGACACTCTGAAACAAAGTATGTAATTGAAGTAGTTTAGAAACCTGCCCTAAACTGAGAGTGTTCCAATCCTAATCCAATCAGCATTACTATTCAAACTGAGCCAAGGGCTCCCAGAGCCACTAGACACAAAGAGTCTCATCAGCAATCTGATTCATTTAACTGACAATATAGAGTCCAAGACTGGCAGAATCTCTTGCTCATTTATACCTCAAGTGCTAAATTCAGTTTACTAGACTTTCTCAGTTTATATACTATTGTACTGGAACCTAAATTGAACATTTTGTAACACTACACCTATAAATGATACATTTTAGAGACTCCCATGTTAAAACTAAAACATAACAAAAAAGAGGCTACTAAACGCTATTGGCCTTTTTAGCATATCCTAACGACACTTCTGGCAAATCATTGGCTTTAAACATATCAACAAGTATAACAATGACACAACATAACACACATATAAACTATTTTGCATAAATAACAGATAGAATAGGCTAATTACCTTTATGTAAGCAAAGCTTGTGCTAATATTTTCAGTGGCGCTTTAACACAAAACAAGTTTCTAAACTCATGAATATTCATGTAAGCTCCGCCCAGTGTCACCAAAAAAGATCAAATGCAAGGGGGGCGTGGTTCAGCGAAGTCTCTAGCGGGAGAGCGAGGACGGAGACTCAGTTGTCAGTACCGAAGAGCCGCCGGGAAATGCTTTTCCAGGGGGCTCACTGTAATACGATGGCTGGACATGTAGGACAGGCAGCTACACTGAATCGCTTAATCACTCGATTTTTCTGGCCGGCCATTCACGAGAATGTGCGCTGGTGGTGCATGTCTTGAATGTCACTTGGTGAACCCACCGGCCAACCGAAAAGCACCATTGTGCCCCGTTCCTTTAATAGAGGTCCCCTTCGAAAGAATTGGCACGGGGGCACCGCTTTGCACTGGTCTTGGTAGATTATGCATCGCGGTACCCTGAAGCAGTGCCGCTCCACAACATTTCTGCTAAGAGTGTGGTGAGCTTCAATTAATCTCCCGCGTGGGAATGCCGAAAGAGATTCTCACCGATCAGGGCATGGCGTTTCGGTCACGCACAATTAGCGAACTATACAAATTATTGGGCATACCAGTGTCTATCACCCACAAACAGACGGTTTGGTCGAACGTTTCAATCGCACTTTAAAATTCGTGATTTGTAAGTTCGTGCAGGAAGATGCCAAAAATTGGGATAAGTGGCTAGAACCCCTCTTGTTCTCTGTACACGAGGTCCTCCAAGCCTCCACGTTTTCCCCCTTGGAGTTCCTCTATGGACGTCAGCCCCATGGGGTGCTGGACGTGCTTAGGGAAGCTTGGGAGGACGGACCGTCGAGCAGCAAAAACAAAATTCAATACATCCTGGACCTGAGAACAAAACTCCCCACTTTGGGGCAGCTTTCTATGGGTAATTTGTTACAGGCCCAGGGCAAACGAAGTCGGTTGTACAACAGGGGGGCGAGACTACGTAAATTTGCACAGGGAGATAAAGTTCTTGTATTGCTACCCAAGTCCTGTTCTAAGTTACTCGCCAAGTGGCAAGGACCGTTTGTGGACACACGGCGAATCGGAGATCTCAAGGGTTTGTTGATCAGATAGGGACGGTACAAATCAGATCTACCACCTCAACCTGCTTCAAAAGTAAAATGAGGTGGAGTCAGCGATCCTGGCGACGGTAGTGAGTGGGGAGGAGGATCTCGGGCCAGAGGAGTGTCTAAAACCTCAATTTCTCGCTCTGGCCATTTGTGGAGATCACCTCTCACCGTCCCAGATCGCTGAAATTCGAACTTTACAGGCAGACTTTTGCAGATGTTCTTGCCCCTACCTGGTCGAACAAACTTCATTCAGGACCACGTTGAGACCGAACCGGGCGACCACATAGGTTGCCTGAACATAAAAATAAAATTGTTCAGGACGAATTAGATTGGCTCGGCGCTGCTCGTTTTTATTCGACACTGGATTTAATGAAGGGATATTGGCAGATCCCCTTATCTCCAATGTCTAAAGAAAAAAACAGCTTTCACTACACCGTTTGGATTACACCAATTTGTCACCCTTCCTTTTGGTTTGTTCAGGGCTCCAGCCACTTTCCAGCGCCTGATGGACAGAATCCTCCGGCCACATGCTGCATATGCCAAGGCATACTTGGATGATATTATCATCGATAGTAATGACTGGCAGTGGCATTTTCAGCACTTGCGGGCGGTCCTCAGGACGCTGAGAGGGGCAGGGCTCACGGCCAACCCAAAGAAGTGTGCCACTGGGCACGAGGAAGTTAGGTATCTGGGCTTCCACTTAGGTAATGGGCAGGTGCGTCCCCTAAATTGATAAGACGGCAGCAGTTGCGACCTGTCCGTGGCCTAAGACCAAAAAGGAGGTTAGACAGTTCCTGGGGCTAGCAGGATATTATAGGAGGTTTGTACCTAATTATTCAGACCTTGCTAGCCCGCTGACTGATCTAACTAAAAAGAAGGCACCAGATACCGTCCAGTGGACGGAACAGTGTCAGCAGGCCTTTACCCAGATAAAGGCCTGCTGACACTGGCCTTTATCTGGGTAAAGGGACCCGAAGACGGCCTCCAGCTACAGGTCTTCACGGGTCCACTTGGATCCGAAAACCCGAGGTCCGACCCGAGACCCGAGCGGGTTCGGGTCCAAAACTCCGACGAGTGTCTCGGACACGGGTCGGGTTCGGTATTAGTGGTCTCGGGTAACTTAAAATAAATATGCCTTTTCCAAATGGACCCGAGAAGACCCGAATTATTTGAAACAATGTTGGGCATTTAAAAAAATTGCAGCATTTAAAACAACTCTATGACCGTTCTGACTTTTTTTTAAGTGAGAGAGTGAATCCGCGCTTTTACATGCCATGGGATATAAGCATAAGCACGGTTGCCTCCGCATTTATTTACTCAGTTGCTCGCTCCACAAAAAACAACTCCTCCTTTTGCAAAGAAGAACTAGTGCGCCATCATGTGGATGGATGTTTGACTACATGGAAGTATTTGAATTGTCGTTTAGCCAGGCCTGTCAATCAATTTTAAAAATACGCGACACTGTAAGACAACCATGGAGACGATAAAACAGATATTGCGAAAAAGGTGAGGGAAAACGAATATGTAGAACAGAAACATCCAGGCCAGGGTCATCCTTATCAACAATAATTTGTGATCATACTTGATAAGGAAGGAAAAAAGACGTGCAGTTAAATGCGTTGATGCAATAACGTTACCATATTAAGATTTGACTCAGAACGTCCAATTTGACTGCTATTGTGGTTCTAATGCCCTGTTTTAATTGCATTTTATCTAAACAACTTTGTAACAACGGGATTGTAGGCTAAATAACACAATTTTAGTAAAAGTCAATGACTGGTAGAATTTGAATGAAAATCTGTAGGCTATTTTAAAAACAGCCATAGGTAAATTTTACCCTGTGGTGGTTCTAATCAACGTGGTACGGTAAATAACATGCCAAATGTTATACGACGTAAAGGGTTACAGTGATGTGTGATTGATATTTTAGCACTCAGCGTGCACTTGCGCGTTAAGCGCATTTTTGAGAAACGCAGGGCTGCAGGCTGTGCACACTATAAATGCCGTTTACATTTGGGTCCAGTCGGGTTCTAAAGGAAATGGCGTCAGGTCGGGTCGGACTCGGGTCTAATTTTATCGGGTCTGTCTCGGGTCGGGTTTTTATTTTTTTAAAAATAATTTATGCACGTCGGGTTCGGGTAAGTAATGATTCGGGTCAATTCGGGTCGGGTACAGTTTTTAAGACACGAGAAGACCTCTATCCAGCTGTTAATGTGTTTGTTCAGTGTGTGTTGTCGACTCGGGACCTGAAGACGGCTTCTGGCTGTTAATGTTGAGTGTGTTGAGTGTGTGTTCAGTGTGTGCTTTCAACTCGGCCTCCGGCGGTAATCATTAACATAATGAACAGGCATCTACACTGAATTCCCACTCCTCCGTGAGAGAAACGAGACCGGTGCGTCTCACAGCTGTCGCTCATCAGTAACCACGCCACCGGCCTCACGCCGTTCTTCCCGCTCGCCACAGTAAACGTGACTCGCGCCGTTCTCCCGCGGCCCTCACTCGTCCCACTCGCCACAGTAAACGTGACTCGCGCCGTTCTCCCGCGGCCCTCACTCGTCCCACTCGCCACAGTAAACGTGACTCGCGCCGTTCTCCCGCGACCCTCACTCACCACAGTAAACATGATAAATGGCGACTGTAGAACTCAAAAGCCGAATCCCGGACATTTTGGGCGATCTCAAAACACATTTTCGGGCCGACTCATCATGGAGACTCACTAGTAGCCTCGACTTGTTTAATGACTGCGCTCTGTTACCGGTAGGCGTGGCCTCCTAGGGTAGCAAAGCAAGTGCATTCTGGGAGTTGTTGTCTTTCATCCACATAAGCCAAAAATACATTTTCTGGCTTTTCTCAGTCTAGAAAGCTCCCAATTCAAAAATAATTTCACATTTCTTTTAGATAAATGACCCATTTTATATCCACATTCATCTTTCTGGAGGTGAAGTATCCCTTTAAGTTAATCAATGGTTTTGGCACTAATCAGTTCAATTAAAGTTAAATTGTTCTCTCATGAAGATGCTTCAGCAAGTTGGACAAACACACACAAGCGGAGTGATACAAATGGTGAAAAGGTTGATGCTGGAGAATTATTCGAACACATTCGAGGACGAAACAAATATATATTATAAGTTTTGTAAATATATACTTATACTTAGGAATTGAGCTTATAGTTTCTGTAATTAGCAAAGAATATCGGTGTGAAATAGGAATATATTGTAATAATGTTAAAAAAGCTGACTAAATCGCATTAACAATAAAAAGTTGTTAATGGAGGAGAGCAACTGCGCGCGACTGCAGAATCCGACACTTGTGCCTTGCGAGCGAGAGTTTTTTGACAAACGTCAGCATGACATCAGAGCCAGGCGGACCGCACTCGGACACAATTCTAACCGGCATGCATCTCGCACTGATCACCGGTGATCGGTTCTGCGCAGATTTCTCTCATATCAAACAAGCCTATTGTTTATACAGTATGTCACGGGTTGCACGTGATGAGAGAAAGAGAGAGTGAGAGAACCCCTTTTATTTAAAACAATTAAGGGTTTAAAACAAATTATAAACAATATTATTATATATATATATATATATATATATATATATATATATATATATATATATATTATACATAAGATCTTTTACAGTCATTTTACTATTAACGCTTTATACAATTCAACTTGTTTTACAACAGCTTTATGCCCCGCGGTGACCCCAAAACACTTAAATTCTTCCATCATTTACTCACCCAAACATTGCCTAATACATAATGTCACAGAAGGAGGACGTTTGTACAGGTTTGAAACGACATAAGGAAGACTAAATTGACAGAATAATTGTTTTAGGGTGAAATAAACAGCCTTCATTCATTGCTTCTTAATAAGGTAAGTTTAATGCAATGCTGTTTTAAATACCAACCTTCTAATTTGTATTTAATTTAGGAAAATCAAGACGTATAAATGTTTTAGGTTCTTTTGTTATGTATTAGGCCTACTAAAAAGACGTGTGCATAAATTAACATGTTGCTCCATAACCGTAATGTAGCCTTGGTTTCCCCAAACAGAGGCCATTCATTGCCTAGTAGAGTTAATATCTTTTCCTACTGTATTTGAATCTGCAGCGCTCCACCCTTCGCCAGTCACAAAAACGAAAGTACTTTCAGCTTTCAGCAGCAGACGAAGTTCAAATCTCGATTTCAGATCGAAAAATTCACACCTATCTCAGGTAGGCTAAGTGAAGTTTGGATGAAGTCTGAATCCGATTGATCTCAAACTCTAATTATTGAAGTTAAGTAGATTGCTTTTTAATTAATTTACAACTTACAGCTGATTCATTTGAGGTGTATCAGGTTTGCAAGCGCCATAAGTTGCCTAGCATTTTATTTATTTATTTATTTATTTGTTGTTGTTGTTGTTTAAAATAACTATTAAATAGGCCACTGTATCGTCAAAGTGTCAACTTACGTTTATTTTACTTAAGTAACCACTTATTTTCAAGAACTAAAATCAATTAAAAAGATATATGCTTTAAAACAGATTGTGTAAATTTTAAAGTGAATTTAGGAACATGAGAAAATATGACAATTTCCCTGATGCTTCCAACTATGCATTTCGACTGCAAACTTCCTTGTAGCCTAAATTCAATTTTACTCACTGTTGCGTCTTCATTTAGTTACTCCACACACCATCATTTGTTTGATTGACTGCTTTTCTATAGCTAGCTGACGCCTTCTTGAATAGCCTAACGAACGTTGAATGCTTTTTGCACTTTTTTAAAACTATACATATAGGCTATCTCTGTGTGAAACACTGTCTCTGTGGTCGGGATGGGTCTCTCATAAAAGGTTCTTTTCATTGGGTTGTTAATCATTTTTCCTTTGGTTGCGATATAATTAGCGATTATTCAGAATGATCAAAGATTGCATAGGCTATATGGACATGTTTGGAGAAACTAGCTATTGAAAAATTATATTTTAACTAACGTTTTAAACTTTTGAAGTCTCCTTTTGAAGTTTCTTTCTTTCTTTCTTTCTTTCTTTCTTTCTATTTCACTAACAAATAAATAATTTTTGTGTAAATAAATGTAATTAATCTAGGTCTATATACGCATTTCATGCAGATTTGAACTTTGTTTTCTTTGTCTTTTTTGTATTTTTTTACAGATTGAACTCTTATTTTCTTTTTTCTAGAAAAGAGACCTTGACATGGCTTATCAGGTAAATATTTTAACATCTCTCTCTTCCGCCCCATAGCCTACTTTTTTAATTGTAGTAGACAATTTTAGAGTGTTTTAATTGACCGTATTCTACATGGTTTTATGTATTTTAGAGGTTTCAGAGCCCAGAGTTGTTGAGAGATGAAGATGAGGATTGTCGGCTGCTGTTGATTGGTAAAACAGGATCCGGTAAAAGCGCCACAGGAAACGTCATCTTTAATAAACGAGTGTTTAAGTCACAAAACAGCTCAGTGACTAGATTCTGTCAGACACACACTGGAGAAGTTGACCACAGAAGCGTGACAGTCATCGATACTCCAGACTTCAGATTCTCCACTCACACTGACTTTGATTCAGACTCGGAGCTGAAGAGAGCTCTTAGATTACGTTCAGCAGGAGTTCATGTCTTTCTGCTGATTCTGCCGTTAAGCACTTTCACTGAACATGAGAAGGATTTCATTGATTGGTTTGAGCAGAAGTTTGGTGTCGAAGCTCTCAGATTTACTCTAGTGCTCTTCACTCATGCAGATCAGGGACACATGAGATCACTAGCAGAAATGATCAGGGCAAATCCTCAATTATCTGCTTTCATTCGCCGATGTGGTCAGAGATATCATGAGTTTAACAATAAAGATCCAGCAAACAGACGACAGGTGACTGAACTCATGGAGAAGATCGACACACTGATAACTGAGAACACAAACTCCCGTTACACACTAGAAATGATGCAGGAGAACGACAGGAGAAGAGAAGAGGAAAAGAGAGAAGAGGAGGAGAGGAGAGAGAGAGAACGTCAAATGAAATTAGATGGAATCAGACGAGAGACAGACATGCGAGTGAGGAGAGAATATGAGCAGGAACAGGAGAAATGGGAGATAGTGGAGAAGCCAGAAGAGGAGTCGAGAGAACAAATGACATTAGAAGGAGTCGGAAAAGAGCCAGAGGAGAAAATCAGAGCAGAGTCTGATGCTGAACAAAGTTTTTTATCAAAAACATCTTGGATCAATCGGTGTTATAAGGCTGTTGGAGCTGCTGTTGCAGCAGTTGTTGGTGGAGCTTTTGTTGGTGGAGCTGTTGGAGCTGTTTTTGGAGGTGTTACTGGAGCTGGTGGTGGTGTCATCGCTGACAGAGCAAAAGGTGAGACACGTTCCGATACTGAAAGCCCCTCTAGTCTGACTAAAATTGAAGAGGCCCAAAGCAATAAACTGTCATGAGGCCTTGAATCCCTATAGCAGCACTGAGTGGGGCTGTTTGTGAATATGTTTGCTGGGACAATAAACTTTGATCAGCAACTTTACATGTATACATAAAATAATTTATAAATAAGTTAAAAGTATTATAAAATGTAAATCACAGTTAAAAATGATCAAATGTGTAACATTTCTTTAAGGGAGGATTTCCTGCAGTGGTTCAGGCTGCAAAACTACAGAATGACTAAAGAAATGTTGTCAGCAAGATGGTAGAAAACTGTAGATTTCTAGTCTATTCCACCCAGTGCTACTTATACAACGACGGAAATAAGCGCAGTTACGTACAAGAGCTTAATATGTGGGAGAGTGTTGCTATAGAGAGTGACAATATTGTATTGCAATCGGTAGCTCTTTAAAGTCAATACCAAATCAAAACTAGTTAGCACATTATTTGTAATTGAAAAGGTAATTGAAAAGCATTCAAAAGACAACTGAAAACGCATCCCTTCCGTGAGACCCAGCTCGTCGCCAAGCAGATATTCTATATGTTATTTAAACGTAGGAGTTTGTCTTTCCTGTTACCTCTCTCCCGTGCCCCAGCCCAAGAGCATGTGAGTCAGTTTCTTTCGGGCGGGAAGATATTTACATTACAGCGTCCGACTCCGAGGATTTCGGGCCTGGTTTTCAGGCCTACACAGAGCTTATCGACGTGCTTACGCGCGCTACTTAAAAGCTTTCCATCGACTGGCCCGATGAGCCCCATGAGTCACAGTTCTCAGATGAGAGATTTCTAAGTGGCCCTAATTCTAGGCCTGAACAGAGAAAGCTGCCCTTTTTCACCGATCTGCATCACGAGATCTCCAGATCCTGGAAGCGGCCTTTTTCTGCGCGTCTAACGAATGCGGCAGCCACTGACTTCACCAACCTCGTTGGTTCTGTGGAGCAGGACTATTCCGCTATTCCAGCGGTCGAGGACATGCTGGCTACACACCTTCCCCCGTCGTCAGCTCCGTCATGGAAATCTCGCCGCTCCTTCTCTCTAAACCGCAGGACTACTTCCACCCTTATCGGAAAGTCCTACGGCAGCTGGTCAGGCAGGCATGGCCCTACACACTATGGCCATCCTCCAAGCCCATGTAAAGATTCTGTGACCGGTCAATATTTAATTTCAGGGAAAATATTCAACAGTTATTAATCTTTGATCAACAATTATAGAATACAGTTTGAACCAGGTCCTTACATAAATAAACCGCCCAAAAAGGGGTTATACAGCATACACGTCTGCTTCAGATATGTACAGTATAAATAATTAAACACAACGAATTATGATTAATTAGGAATATACATCCTACACAAACAGGTTGCTGTTGATTTTTAGAATACCTTTAACAATTGACGGCACTTTGTCGAGTCAGCTCGTCCGCCGTGCTGTTCTGCGGGAAGCTATCAATTATTAGTGGTCTATTTTAGCTTAAGTTTACTGACATGTTTTTGCCACTTAACAATATCAGCTTGTAGCGTTAGGATCGCATATTAAAGAGGCTTTGTTATGTGACGAACCAGACAGAGACAAAAGAGTATAATGAGGTTTTAATAAAAATTAAACTATGCTAAATGTAAAACAAATATCTATATACATATGGAATAAAATGTAAGTAAAACAGTAAGAAAGAAAAATGGAAATACAAAGAAAAACAATTGTTAGCACAGCTGAGCCTTCAGAGACAACTCGGATTACACACTTTTAAAGCATTTAAATTTGGATGGAACAAATACTTGCAACTTGGACCTTTGTAGTGTTGAATGGGAAGAAGCGTGCAGGCGTCGTGAGGCAGCCGACTTCTTTTGGGATGGCACTTTTGGTGGACAAGTTTTGTGGAGAAACTCATCACTATTCCCATTATTGGTGTGATTTCCTTTTGCATGCCCTTGTATTGGGTCAGTGCTCCATATGTCATGACCCCTAGCTCCATTCAGTCACTGTGGTTAGTCTCTCCCCCCTTCGGCGGAGTACTTCACAGGGACTTTTTCCTATGTTTTACTACCTGCTTTCCAACGCTATACCAACCAGGTTGTTACCTGTATATTTAAATTATATTGGAAAAGTCCGGTGCATCCGATAATCTTTGTCAGATAATCTAAGATTACTGTCCTGGGCGCTGGACGGTTGTGAGGGAGTGTATTGCATTTGTTGTGGCACAGGCGGAAATCGCGGGGGGGTCGGGGGTTGTCTGAGGCTATCTGAGGGTTGTTGCCCCCCCCAAAAAAAACATTAAAATATGTGTATTGTAAATAATGTAATGATATATTCTTAAAATAATTAAGAAATAAAATAACACAAATGCAAATGGGGCAATAACGAAAAAAGCGTTCTAAACATTTTGAGACCCCCCTCCCTTGCCTCACAGTGCGTTCGTTGGTCCACCGCCTCCGTCCCTTTTACCTCAGACACACACTTTCCGGTGGCGGGAGAGAAGAACATAGTTTTTGAGTAGTTGTGGAACTCCAGTAAAGGGGGTCGCACACCGGACGAGAAGCGCAGCGTCGCGCAGCGCCACGTCTTTAAAATTCGAACACATTATTCTCTATGAGTGTACACACACCAGCGTCGCCATTCAGCGTCTGTCCGCGGCGCCCAGCGACGGCTCAGGACCGTGTTCAAAACCCTGCTGCGCCACAGAGCGCCATTTACATAGTTTTATATACAATTTAAATTATTTTTGTCTCAAATCGGTGCTGATTGATCCTAACTTCGCCCTATGCTGCAATATGCATTTAGTTTTGCATTCATTTACAGAAATCAGCTGCTTGAATGACAATTGCTGATGTTATTAGATTTTTCAGGTGAGATTCTCAATTCATTCAGTTAACGGATGCTCTGAGGTAAAGTTTTCAGAATGCAGACTCAGCAATGATTGTATTTAATTGTACAGTACAATCATAACATAGAACAGACATTATCTCTTCATGTCATTAAACATTACAATATTGCTGCATTATACACTGATGAGAAAGTGCACGTCCGGTGTGCGATACCTGGAGTTGTCCTAGACGCGGCGCAGCGCTGCGCTGCGCTTCTCGTCCGTGCGACCCCCTTTAGTCAATGTTATTTTATTCACTTTAAACATCAGATGAAGTGATTATTTTCTCTTTAATATAGATTATGCTTAGTAATTATAATAAATCATGTCAAAAAACAAATATATGATTGTGTAACCAATGTTGGCTACTTTTGTCACTGATGCAGTCTGCTATGTTAGCGATTATAACGTTAATGTTACCCTTCCTTGTTTATAATAGTCTATGCGTTTACCTAGCTTGTTTAATACAGTATATCCTCACACACAAACACACAGAGTGTACACATACACTACTACGTGATGTAACGTTAGTCTTGTAGATTAGACTAGTCTGGGTGCGCTGTGCATTTAGATTTTAACGCTTTCACTGTGATTTAGTCGGTTTATATCATTTAATTAATATAGTTAAAGAGTGAGTCAATGAATGAAATGAAATGAGTCGCTAGCTGCGTGAGGAGACGTAAACAGATTCACCGCTGGCTTAAACCAGAAAGAAATTTTAAGAAGTATTATGAAATGGTCTCCATGTTACACTAATAATATAAGGCTTTCCTCTGTACTTTTTTTTTTTTTTTTTTTTTTTGCCTGTATTATTGGTGTCCCCTTCAAAATTTGCTCTTGAGAACTGGGAACTGCCTCTGATGGGATTAAGTCGTTAAATTGACTCCTCAGAACAGAACTATTTGAGCAATGCCCAATTATACTGCAGCAAAGCCTATTATACTGGTATGGGGGTGGGGCCCGAGCATGCAAATTCTACTTGCCAATTTCATTGCATTTCATTGGCCCTTTTAAAAACAAATCAAAGGTGACTGGTACTCTCAGGGTAACCCCAATCTATCGTTTCCACACACATACTTTAGGGAACGAGCGTCACCATATAACCGAGCCATTGTGTTTTCATGCATTTTCTCACTCTGAAACTTGAGTCATAACATGACTAAACACAAGGCAAGTTTTGGATAAACTCGTACTAAAATTATTTTTCACACAGTTCTTTCAATTTTAAGTTCTTTCAATGTAAATGGTTTCATTTGATCAAGAATCAAATATATGAAAACCCAAAATTGGCAAAATCAGAATGTAATTCATGATGTTTTATTAACAAAGTTTGACAGGAGCACGGTCAGATAATTAACCTAAATTAACACAAGAGGAGCGCACTCAGTTAATCAATCAATTGCCAAATCAAGAGGTAAATATACAGCAGGCTTACCTCCGTCCATTGACCGTTTAACAGCATCCCTCCACCACCCCTTCTCCTCACTTCTAGTCCTAACCACTCCTACAACAACCGGGAGAGTACTCTGGGTTCAGGCCAAATTCCAAGCGCGTGAAATAAGAATTTGCCGCCAGAGATGCTCAGACAGTCTCCAGCTTCCCCACAAACCTCTATAGGACAAGCATTTTGGAGAATAGATGAATTTATCATAACTGTTGATTACCAAAATATATTCACTGACCAGATTGTTTTATTACCTTACTGTACTATATTTTATCTGTGGGATATGAGTTTCAATTAAGCATTTTTTGTCTTACATCACTTTACATCTTTAGGCCACAAATTGAAAATGGAAGACACGCCAAAAAGTCTGAATTTGGTCTTAATTGGAAGAACGGGAGCTGGTTTATCAGGAAACACAATACTGGGACAACAAGCTTTCATATCAAAGGAAAGCTCCAAATCTGTCACACAGGAAGTTTCTGTTCAATCTGTGACATTTGGTGACCTATCAGTCAATGTTTATGACACACCAGGATTATATGACACAGATATCAATGAAGAGACTATTCAACAGACACTTGAAAAGTTTCTTCAGACGTGTAAATCTGGTCCCTGTGTGTTTCTGCTGGTCATCAAAGCTGACAAATTCACTGAAAAGGAGAAAGAAATTGTGGAGAAGATTGAGAAGCGCTTGGGAGAAAAACACCTGAAGAAAACCTGGATTCTCTTCACCAAAGGAGACGAACTAGATGAAGAAAATATGACCATACAAGAATTCCTAGATGACACTGAACCACTGAAGAAACTTGTTCAGAAATATGATCAGAGATACCACGTGTTCAACAACAAGGCAAAGGAATGTACTGGGCAAGTTAGAAACCTGCTTATAAAAATACTTAAGTCATATTGTGACACATTGGGTGAGTATACCAATATTAAACATTCTAGACATTGTTTAATCACAAATCTTTGCAGTGAGTGTGTTAAAAGGTTAAAAGTTTTTTTTTTCTATATTATTTCCTATATTTATACAGAAGATGTTCCAGAGATACTGAATCAGAATCCACTGAAGAGGAAATCATATAAAGACATTAAACCAGACGCTCCTGCTGACAGTCTCTCGTCCAGACGGATTGTTCTTCTGGGTAAAAGTGGTGTTGGGAAGAGTGCTGCTGGAAACATAATACTGGGAGAGAAACCGTTTAAATCCACTAGGAGTGCGAGTTCAGTAACCAGTGAATGTTTAGTGCAATGCAACACTGTTTCAGGAAGATCTGTGTCTGTAATTGATACTCCTGGATTCTTCGACACACAGATGGAACAAGGGGAGTTAGCTGTAAAGATAGCAAAAAGTGTTTATATATCCAGTCCTGGACCGCACGCTTTTCTCATTGTTCTCAGAGTAATTGACAGATACACTGAACAGGAGCAGCAGATTCCTCAGCACATTGAGTGGATGTTTGGTCAAGAAGTGGTAAAATACTCCATCATTCTCTTCACTCATGGAGATCAGCTAGAAGGAGAATCTGTAGATGAATTCATTAAGGAGAACAGTAAATTAGGAGATCTAGTTGGTCAGTGTGGAGGCAGATATCACGTGTTGGACAATAAAGATGAGAATAACAGAGATCAGGTGAACGATCTACTGCAGAAGATTGACACAATGATAGAGCAGAATGGAGGAGGACACTACAGTAATCAGATGTATGAAGATGCTCAGAGTTTCAGACGAGAAGCAGAAGAACAGAGACAGAGAGAGGAGAGAAAACAAGATGAGACAGTCAGAGCAGAGAATGATCCTGAGAGATCTGAACAGAAAAAGGAGGCAGACACAAGCAGTGGATTTAAGAGGTTTTTTCATAAGTATCAGCACTATTTTAAATTGGCAGCTGTTGTAATTGGCATTTCCAGGAATCCAAATGATTCATGACTCTTGGGGGTCCCCTAAAATGTACTGTATGTAATTATAAAATGATAAAAAAAAAATCTGAATACTACCTTGCTACACTATGTATATGTAAAATATATATGGACTGATCATGTCAGGGTTTTTCTTGGCTCAAAATGAGGCAGAGGTGGCAAAATCGTAACACTAGGGAGGTCCGGCAATTTTGTACATTTTAAAGATAAATTCATTAATCTAGTGCACTTTGAGTCACTCAAATCTGTTGTTAAAAATAAATAATAATCCTCCAGCCAACCACCCATATTCTTTGATTTAGATATCTGCATTTGATCATCACATTACAATTATTCAATTAAGCATGATAATATGGTAACATATCACAGTGTAGTAGGCCGATTTAAAATGAACATTTATTTAAATTAAAAGTTCTTCTTTTGGCAAAATTACATTTCCTTTATAGCCTAATAAGAGGCTTTACTCCCTTTAAACTTAAATTGTCAATGTTTCATTTTTGAAAACACTCTTATCTGAATAAATTTTGTACCTTTATAAAGGGCACTTTTCCCCTAATTTTATTTAATGTATACACTAAATTTAATTTCAAATTCTTACATTTTATTAATAGGCTACATTCAATTAAAATAATAAGACACCCTAGCCTAGTGGCTGCTAATTAAACAAGTTATATTGAAAAATTATAAGTGTATTAAATGAGATTATGAGATTGTTTTAAATATTTTTTGAATATACAAATAAGGACCTTTGGTCTCCTGTCAAATGTGTTCCACCCTGGTTGCCTATGACGCGTGCTTCCCCATGGTCGCTTGCCCTGCTCTGGTCTCCAGGGCCCAGGTCTCTCCATGGACCTGGCCCTCCCTGTTGATCTCCCCCTGGAGTTCTTAGGAGCGTCTGGAAGCCGCTCCTTTGGGGAGGGGCTATGTCATGTATGCCAGTTGGAGGGCACTCTCTCCTTGTGTTGTTTTCACCATGGACTCATTATGTTTAATTATGTTTCTTTTGTGTTTGATTACCGGTTATTGAGTTCCTTATTTAAGCCTGAGTCAAGTCAAGTCAAGTCAAGTCACATTTATTTATATAGCGCTTTTCACAATACAGATTGTATCAAAGCAGCTTCACACTGATAACATGAAAGTAGCACAACACAGATCAACAACATTGCTAAACACTAAATAATCCCAACTGAGCAAGCTCAAAGCAAGCCAAAAGCAAGGCGACAGTGGCAAGGAGTGATCTCTGTGTCTGGTGCGAAGTCTTGTGACATTGTAAGCGTACATCTGAGCATTATTTCCCTGGACGCTTGACCCTTGCCTGTCTTCTGGACTGTTTATGAACCTGTGCTGCCTGCCTCGACCTAAGCCTGTTATCACCTCGAGTTACCGGATTGCCCCTTGTTTAACTGTATGCCTTGGTATATGTCTGCTTGTGTTTAAGTTGAAATAATGTGCTGCACATGGATCCGACCGCCTCTGTCCGTGCGTTAAACTGTAGGCAGTAGTAAATAATAGTGACAGTAACTCGAACTTGAGCGGCAAACTGAATGTGCTCTATAATATTGTTTGGGGAGGGGCCAGTCTCAGGTCCTCCAGTGCATCATCAAGTAGGGGCGTTTCCAGGAGCTCAGGGGCTTCAGTGTGTCATTAAAGAGTAACTAAACACTTAACCAACTTTTTTACTTAATGATCTGTAAGAATGGATCTTTATTAATACCAGTCATTGATTCGAGTAACTTTTTTGACATTTGTTTATAAAGTGTTCTATTTCTACAATATATGGTGTAAAAGCGTCTTAGTGCTGCCCTCTTCAGGTTGAACGGTGGCTACTGCAGTTGAATTTTCCTATTGGATTTTAGCGGTTCTTCGTGACGCTTTTCAGCTTCAGCTTTCAGCTCACCATGCGAGCTACACCCTTGGCAATATAAAAACCATCTTGTTTCATCAAAAACCACTGTAGGGAGTCAGGAATTGGAATTGTGAGTATTGAAAACGATCAGGATAGAGTGTTTTAGCATCTATTTCGTCCCCTCTATCTCCGCTGGGGTCTGTCCACTTTTTCAGGATTGTCAAATATTGCCAGTGGGTGGAGTCAGGCTCTGACCAGGGGTTCAGTTACCCTTTAAGCCCTGTTTTAGCCCCGCCCAAAAAAAATCCGGAACACAGCAATGGTAAAAAAAAAACTGTTTAACGGTCTAACTCCACAATTCAGTACTTCACGGTTCACAGTCTTTGTAATGTTTTAGCAATGCATTTCTAACATTTATAATGTGTTTAGATTTTTTTTTTTAGAATTGCCTTTACAGGCACTTTAATAGCCAGCTGTTTATTTTATGAAGTGTCTCTGTGTATAGACAATTAGGCTGCTAATAATTGGTGTAAAGTTTCTATTGTATAAGTCTCTGATGCAATACATTTTGTAAATACTGTAATGCAAATAGGCTGAGGGTAGGTAGCCTACAGATGATGGTAAATTAAATTGGTGCTGATGGTGAACAGTAGCCTAACTATAATCCATTTGTTAATTTAAAAAAGAGTATTTAATATAAGTGAGTTTGTCTTTGTTTTATTGTTGTTGTTTCAATCAAATAATTGTGAACCACAAGCATATATATTTTAATGGGGAATCTTTTATTTTTGTGTTGAGGCTATATCGTTTCATCCGTTTTATTTGTTTAGTTTAAAACAAATAGGCTAATGTTAATAGGCTAATAATTTTCTTTTAATAAAGTAAGTGCTTAGAACTGTGTTTAACCTTTCTATCCAGGTGTTGGGTTTTATGAATGCCTCTGTGAATGTACACAATATCACATTCCTTACCGCAGTTACTGTTAAAAATGGGTGTAGCATACTGCACTTAAGTTCCTGTTTTTTTTTGTTTGATTTTTTTTTCTTTTTTTTTTTCTACGCCCTTTTGGGTCCACGCTTGATTTGTTTAATGATCTAAGTCAGGAATTATTATGGGCAGCTATAAATGTCACCAAATTCAGTGAAACGAAGAAAAATGCAACTGAGTTAATATTTTATATTTTCATGATATAATGTAATATAATTATGTAAGCAGCTAATTGTGATCCTAAATGAGTGAATTGCTGATTAAATCATTAGCAGACTGACTTTTCGCCACCCACTGGCGGTCTTTCATATTGAAAGTATTATTTCATGTTGTCACTTCATCTCGCATATAATAGTCTTTTAGTATGCCATTGTATGCTTTGTAAATGCACTTTCTGTGCTACATTTGAACTGCATTAAACCGTGTGTAAACAAAACTAAATGCCAATTCAGATGCATCTTCTGTGCCACACATTTGAGGTAGTATTTTGAAAGACTAAAATTCTCTGTTTTTTTATTGTATTTATTTGTTTATTTATTTTTTACACTGAATATAAGTTTGCTTTTAACTTTAATGATCATTAAGTACAAATGCCTCCATTAACCTTTGGCTACAGTAGCAGCCTAACTAACATTGTTTGTCTGTAGATTTAGCTAGCCTACTAGCGTTAGTGTGTGTTTATTTCAAGACTTTGTCAGCACAGTTTGGTCGCCTTTTTTCAAGAGTATAGCTAAGTGTTTCCTCTTCGTTTTGTGGGTAGACTGTCTCTGCTATTTTACATTACAAAATCTATATACAGATTAAAACATAGGCCTAGGCCTAAAGTAGCCTACATTGTGTGCTCTCTTCTACATTTTAAAACAATTCGAACACAACCAGATTTTTGTTCTTATGCTGAATCGCTATTGTTTCGAAGCTGCGAATCTATGACAATGTCCAACGTCAAACCAACTTTATATGTTCCACTTATGAGGGCTGCATTTGAAGGCTGCATACGTCGGTCTCATTTAAGAAAAGTAGCCGTAATTAAATTGACTTATTCCTCGTGACGTGAGGTGTAAAAATGCTGTCATTTCTAAATTACTTTGCATCTAATTGTTCTTCTTTTATGAGACCGACGTGATGATGTAGCCTTCAAACGGCGGAAGACGCAGCGACACAGCTTATATCGGTCACATGACTCCGTTTAAAGTGAAAGTAAAATTATATTTCCGACATTTTGTTGAAGCTCACTGATGACGGAAGCATTTTACCTCCTCGGCCTTGTGTGATTCTCAGTAAGTGTAACGTTTAATAAATAGCCTATTTGTTTATATTGCAGTGGAAATGTGTAGGCTATATTAACTTTACAATAGCATGAGTTATGTTAGCAATCAACTTTAGAGGTCTCGGTAAGACATAAACCTTCCAGTTTTGGTGAGGGTAAAGTGAACGTTTTTGTCTCTCCAAAGCGATCAAAATAAAAATCGCCATAAGTGTGTAGGCTACAGGAACACACGACTAACGTGCCTTATGTTAGATATTGTATTGCTAAGTTTATTTATTTGTCAAGTAATCTTGTATTGTCGTCTCATAATGAGCAGTGATGACATTACACTTTTAATATCTAGGTGTATCTGTAAACCTGACATAGCCTACTAAATACCACAAAACAGACTGATACCAAAATCTGCTGCTTAATCTTACAGATTGGCCTAACACAAATCAATTTAGGAAACTTGATCTGTAATAATATTATGCTTGCTAAATTTATAAAAGCGAACCTTAACCATTTATTTTGCAGCCTACATCTGTTCTCTGACAGCGTACTCTTTGCAAAGTTTGCATAGGATTGCCAGTCATGATTGTTTCTTATATTCACGATTAACAGTTTTCTTGTATTTACATTACTGGCAGGACGGATGCCAGCAAGTTGCTGTATTTGGTCAGTAATTGTACTATACACAGTAAATTCAATTTACAGAACACATCTACAAATCACAGATCACTACTATCTAAAACTGTATTTGATTTTATTGTATTTTGTAATTTGATCTGCTTCTGCTGTAATTTATTATATGGTACTGTGCTGCTAAACTGAACATCTGTTTAAAAACAAACATTTAATAGCCTACTAAATATGCAGCACTGGATAATTTGATTAATATTATTTCTCACTCTAGGTCCACATAAACATGACTGAAATTGAATATTTTCTTTAACTGTATCTTTCCCCGGGTATCTCGGTGTGAAACACTGTCTGATGTGTCTCTCATTAACGGTTCTTTCATTGGGTCGTTAATCATTTTTCCTTTGGTTGCGATATAATTAGCGATTATTCAGAATATGATCAAAGATTGCATATATGGACATGTTTGGAGAAACTACCTATTGAAAAATTATATTTGAACTATTAACGTTTTAAACTGTTGAAGTCTCCCTTTGAAGTTTCTTTCTTTCTTTCAATTTCACTACTAAATACTGTAAATCATTTATTATAAACAATTAAATAAAAATAAATAAATTACATAAATGTAATTCATCAAGGCCTACACTGAAAAAAATAATATGCTTTATCTAATCAATAAAATTGTGGCAACATATTACAAGCAATATTATTAATTAAATTGTACAAATTAGAATTAATTAGAATATTAATTTGATTAACTATTACTCAATACTAATTTGTTCAATTTAATAAATAATATTGCTTGTAATCTGTTGCCACAATTTTATTGATTAGATAAAGCATATTCATTTTTACAGTGTATATATTTCATGCAGATTTGAACTTTTGTTTTCTTTGTCCTTTTTTTTTCAGATTGAACTCTTATTTTCTTGGTAAACTTGTTTAAACAAGAGAAAAGAGACCTTGACATGGCTTATCAGGTAAATATTTTAACATCTCTCTCTTCCGCCCCATACTTTTTTAATTGTAGTACACTCTAAAAAGTCTAACCATGATTTACTCAATTTTTTTGGTGAAACAATTTTATGCTTAAAAAAGTTGAGTAAATTTTAAAGCTGTGAAATCAGTGAGATCTACTGTATGAATTGAGTAAATGCAAGTAAAAAAATTAAGTAAATCTAAGTAAATTCATCTGGTATATCAACAAATTAAATTGAGTAGAAATAATTTAACATTTAAAAAGCAATATTTATGAGTAATATTAGCTGTTTTTATTTATATGACTATTTCCTCTAAATAGTATTCCATACAACCACCAGTATACATGACATTGGCCTTTATTGTCAATGAGTCCAGCAATACAGCATATTACACTGTTTTAACATATAATATTGCCAACATTTAAACTCATTTAACAAACATTTTAGAAGTAAAAATTAACCATTTAGGTAGCCTAATTCAAGAGTAATCAACAGGTGTGTTATCCAATATTCCCCGCATCAGCGCTGGTCCTCTTGCCGGAGATAGACTCGCGCTCTGCGGGTGAACTTCGGACTCCAGACCGCAGTCCTGCGTTTCACTCATCATAGCCAAAAGACGCTGCGACACGACTGACTCCATAACCTGCCAATAAACAAAGAGTGCACAGTTCTGAGGACATTTTATCATCCAAATTAATTATATTCATTATCATTAGTTATAAACTCGTGTGTTTTATGCAAGACGTTTCAATCACAAGAAAAAACAGGCGCGACTCTTGTTTAGGTGTCACATTACGCCTTTGAATGTTGTTTTGCATTAAATAAAACGATTTAAAGCACAGTAATGATTTTATAGATAAAATAAAACCCACACAAACCTGAATTTCGCAGAGACTGTGAAGTTTGGGAAATTGGGAGGCACAGAGAAGATGAGTAGAAGTGTTCATCGGAGCCTAGAGTTCAAACAGCCCGCGCTCACTCAACCGTCGAGTTGTTGTCACGTGTCAGAGGGTGGGGGAGGGGTGCATTGTTTTAATGGAGTAAACTTAATAAATTTCTTAACTGTGTTAAATATATTAATAATATTGACTTGAATTAAGTATTTTTCTGTGGTTCTTGAAACAGATCTGTTTAATTCTCCATTCCCAAATATTTTGATAGACATTTCACAAATATATTAAGTTTATTTAAAATAAATAATTAGTTGGTCAAATACTAAATTCTTTTAGTGAAAAAAAACGTATATATAACTATAAATTTTTACACAAAAACTGTTGTATTTTTCGTCAATTATTTTGGTATGTTCAACTCAAACAATCAAGTAGGCTAAATGATATTCAGAGATTTTATTAAGTTAATAAAGTTAATTATTACTGTGATATTTACTAAGCCCCTGAATTATTTTTTAGACAATAATTTTAGAGTGTTTTAATTGACTGAATTCTACATGGTTTTATGTATTTTAGAGGTTTCAGAGCCCAGAGTTGTTGAGAGATGAAGATGAGGATTGTCGGCTGCTGTTGATTGGTAAAACAGGATCCGGTAAAAGCGCCACAGGAAACGTCATCTTTAATAAACGAGTGTTTAAGTCACAAAACAGCTCTTCATCAGTGACCAGAGTCTGTCAGACACACACTGGAGAAGTTGACCACAGAAGCGTGACAGTCATCGATACTCCAGACTTCAGATTCTCCACTCACACTGACTTTGATTCAGACTCGGAGCTGAAGAGAGCTCTTAGATTACGTTCAGCAGGAGTTCATGTCTTTCTGCTGATTCTGCCGTTAAGCACTTTCACTGAACATGAGAAGGATTTCATTGATTGGTTTGAGCAGAAGTTTGGTGTCGAAGCTCTCAGATTTACTCTAGTGCTCTTCACTCATGCAGATCAGGGACACATGAGATCACTAGCAGAAATGATCAGGGCAAATCCTCAATTATCTGCTTTCATTCGCCGATGTGGTCAGAGATATCATGAGTTTAACAATAAAGATCCAGCAAACAGACGACAGGTGACTGAACTCATGGAGAAGATCGACACACTGATAACTGAGAACACAAACTCCCGTTACACACTAGAAATGATGCAGGAGAACGACAGGAGAAGAGAAGAGGAAAAGAGAGAAGAGGAGGAGAGGAGAGAGAGAGAACGTCAAATGAAATTAGATGGAATCAGACGAGAGACAGACATGCGAGTGAGGAGAGAATATGACGAGGAACAGGAGAAATGGGAGATAGTGGAGAAGCCAGAAGAGGGGTGGATGGAAGTCAGTATAGAGCCAGAGGAGAAAATCAGAGCAGAGTCTGATGCTGAACAGAGTTATTTCTCACAAGAATCTTGGAACAATGTGTATTATGTGGCTGTTGGAGCTGCTGTTGGAGCTGCTGGTGGAGCAGTTGTTGGTGGAGCAGTTGTTGGTGGAGCTTTTGTTGGTGGAGCTGTTGGAGCTGTTTTTGGAGGTGTTACTGGAGCTGGTGGTGGTGTCATCGCTGACAGAGCAAAAGGTGAGACACGTTCCGATACTGAAAGCCCCTCTAGTCTGACTAAAATTGAAGAGGCCCAAAGCAATAAATTGTCTTGAGGTCAAGAATTCCTTGTTATGTGGCATTGGGCTTTTGTAGTTAAAAGGATCTATTTTGTTTAATAGTGAAGTGTGACATCTGTTTTTCTGTAATCTCTAAACCGTAACTGTCAATGTGAGAATAACTTCAAGGAAAATTAGTTAGAAATGTGCAGTTTACATCTATATTATTCTTGTTTAAGAGACTTTACCAACAGTTTCCACAATGGACTCAGACGTTTCTTATCTAAAAACTCATTGTCCTATGTCTGTGGTATGAACATTATATGCATCATCATCTACAGGTATCTCTCTGTCATTATTCTTAAGCTCATTCTGTTTAAATAAACATGATATCTCTCGGTAGTGGAAATGTATTGAGAATTCATCATCACCTAGTGATAGACGTTTTATTCCTGTTAAAATTACCAATAAAAATCATTTGAAATTATGACCTCCTTGGTCTTTTTTTAAACACACTTCCACCAAGAAAATCAATGGGTTATTTATTCATAAAGCATGTCAAAGTGGAACAAAAAATGTCACATTTGAATCAGAATTTTTCTTAAAGGGGTCACATGATGCGATTTCTTGTTTTCCCTTTTCTGTGTTATGTAGCTGTTTGTGCATGAATAAGATACAGTTACAAAGCTCAAAGTGTCAAACCCAAATAGATATTCTTTGTAAAAGTTAAGGCTGACCCACGCCTTCCTAAAACACTTCGTTCAAACACACCCCCACATCTCTACATTATGGTGCTTTTCCACTGCATGGTACGACTCAGTACGGTTTGGCTCGCTTCGCTTTTCCACTGCGTGGTACGACTCGCCTCGGCACGGCTTTGTTCGCTTTAGCTTGGTTTGCTTTTCCACTGCTGTTAGTACCGCTTCAAAGTGGGTGGGATTATAGACTGATCGTTATGGTTTATCCGCTCCTCTGCAACCAACGAGAGGAACGTCTGCACTTAGTCCACTGACCACGATTCAGCCATTTCTTTTTTGGAAGCTTTCTTTCTCTCTCTTTTCTTCAAGCAAGTAGTTTTAAAACATTTGCTCCGGCGGTGGTTAATACTGGCTATTTAAATCTAGCGGGTTTGGTGTCTCGCAAATACAATGACGTTAGTAGTGACGATTCTGTCTGACCAATTAGTGATCTGCAGTGTGTTCACGTCACATTTTAGTATTGGTACTGTTCAATTTTGGTGTATTTGGCCAAGCAGTGGTATGTATTAGATTTCTTCAATACCTAAATAAGCAAGCTGAAGCTTGACCAGTTCTTGTGGAGAGAATAATTTATTAAAGGTTTGTTGTGTAGTAGTCCTTTAGCGATGTTAGCATGTCACTCTTCAACAATCTTAAACCAATGTTCTGCCTGTGAGACATGAAGACAAAGCCTATGGGCTACAAACAATAGAAACCTAGGACCACCCACAGGAGATCGACCTAACTTGCTAATCCACTCTGAGCAATACTGATTCTTTTTATTCATTCTCACCAATCAGTTTCTATGGGCCATACATCTGAATGGACCATTTGGCACACACCTTTGCAGAAACAGACAAAGTGGATTACATTTGGTACACAGTCACAATGTAAATTGATCTGAATAATGAAAATACAAAATCTATTAGTATACGCTTGGAACCTCGACAGAGGTGGTACCATTTAAAGTGAGCCGTACCGTACCATGCTGTGGAAAAGTGCCACAAGTGAGCTGTACCGAGCAGAGCCGTCCCACACATGTGAGGTGATGGGATGGTGGAGGAATGCTGCAGGGGCGGATCTACCGGGGTGGCATAGGGCGGCAAATGCCACCCTAAAAGAAAGCCTTGCCACCCCAGTTGGTAGCAACTATATCAAAGTTATGGCACATTTGACAATTTACGTACGAGCGCGAATCTCCAATGTCCGACTGCAGTGAATTCACTCTGTGCACAAATGGAAACCGTTGACGTTTGAACTTGAGTGTGTGGGCAAATACTTCTGGTGAAAACTTCCGGTGATCTGACAGCGGGAGGGGAGCGAGAGACACTGAGAGCAAGAGACAACAGCGACCGAGTTCCATTCCCAGAGAGAGAAGTTTTCAACCCCACCAAATTTTAAAATCAATATAATTTTACCCAGAGGCGTAGAATTTAGTAGGGACGCTAGCGTCTTCTCTCTCTGCACTAGGCAAGCGCTAAGCGCTGCAGGCAGGAGACAATACACACTCGCGTTTAGGAGTGTGTATCGAAACTAATGTAACTAACGTTTATCATTTTCACGCCTTTTTAAGTTTTACCAGTTTAAACATTCAAGCAATTTTTTCCCTCCTGCGTAGTTTTTCCCTCCTGCGTTTAAAAAAAAAAAAAAACTGTCCACATAAAAACGCAAAAACACGCTATCAAGCGCTGTCAAAAGCATGCAACACCAGCAGGCGGCGATATAAACCTAACCGTAAAGCCACGTTAGCCAATCAGAAGCCGTCAGCGCTGCAAAAACTCCGGTTTCACTGTCTACACGACAACACTGCAACCGGCGTTTCAGAAAATACTCACCCTGGCAGGGGTTTTCAAAAATGTTCGGTTTCCATGTCCTGATACTGCGTTTCCGTGTGGACGAAACCGCGTAAAAAAAAGTCACGGTTATAAAAATACCCGTGTCCGGGTGTGGACATGCCCTCAGAGATGTCTTTCACTGCGTACAGTAAAGCCTGAATCCGCTCGCCAGAAACAAAAGTTTTATCCCTTGATTATATCGCCTTAACAGTTAAAAACACGCAAAATTATGTCAAAACTCAAAAAAGGTCTTAAGTAGTAACCTCGTAAAGACAGTCGATTGAGTCTTAAATTAGCATTAAACGGAAACGCGTGTGACGGACAGACAGTACGTACTATTATGAAAAAGGAATGGATCCGTGCTAGTTCTTAAAGTGAACGCAGCCAGATGTGTCTCATTAATTCAGTTGTCATAACAACATAATATTGCATTAATTGTAAGCAATCAGAATGAATAGCCTATGTATTTAATTCTGTCTGGACTAAAAAGAGTGTTATCCAGTGTTATTTTACAGTACATTGGATTACTTTATTGAGTTTCTGTAGTATTTCTGACATTCAAAAAAAAAAACTCCAAACTGTTCTTTTTTTTTTTTTTTTTTTTATAAATATATGATTAGTGTTAGGTCTACATTCATTATAGTCGAATCGAGAATCAAATAAGGAATCGAATTGAGAAGCGAATCAAAATTGAATATGTGAATTGATACCCAGCCCTAAAATCTCCGTCCCCACCAATTTCAAAATCAAACCTACGCCACTGATTTTACGTTTATTTCACCTGTGCGTTTCTATGCTATCTGTTAATTTGTGCAAGTGAGATGAGTAAAGATCTTGCATCTGTTTTATAAATCATTATTTGTCTGTTTATAAGCAGCACATACAATATATTAGCTATAGCTATATTGTTTGTGGTACAACCTACAGTTAAAAATATAAATGTAAAATATATGATAATAACATTGATTAAGCAATTGATGTAAGTGAATAAATGCACAGAACTCTAATCATAGTTGTAACTCTCTGTTTACAGTAGGCATAATTGTCATTGCATATGTCTAGCATGAGCCCAATTCTTCTGTTCGCGAACAGTTGTGTTTCACTCATTGCATCCGTGTATTTAATTGTCATTGGCTCGTGTGTGACAGTAATATGGATCTTAGTAATATTTTAAGTGATATAATTGATGTATAAGAGATCATTTTCGGATTTCTCTGGCTCCCTGCACTGGGTGAATGCTAAACTGGAAGTGTCTATCCGCACACTTGCCTGTGTCTTAACTTAATTCCTTTCTTATGATAATGCCCCTTAATTCTATCATACTTCAATGGCCACTTAAAAAATAAAATCAGATCCAAAAACACACACATCCACAGCAAAAACACTCAAGTTGGGTGCTCAACAGAAATATATATATAAAGATATAAAAAGGGGGAAAAAAGTCGGCACACCTTGGCTCCAAAATTGCAAAAAAATGTAATGGACTCACACACAGGTGGTAACGTCTCAAGCATGTAGGCTCTTCGTCAGACAACTAAACATTAAACACACCCCATCTTTATACTCTCATGTGACCCAAGGTGAGTATAAAAGGTATGCCGACCTTCTTTACCTTTTTTTTTTTTAATTTTTTTTTTACACTTGGCCTATTCCTAATATGAACTGTTTCACCTCAAATGCAAGACATTGATTGCATGAGATTAATTTTGTATGAGTTTGTAAATGGCAGCCTATATGCCCTTTTGTAGTGTATAGGCTATACTTTTTCTCATCTAACTGTGTTAAAGGTTCCATATGGGATAATTGAGGTAAAAATATCAAAAAATATCCGTTACCAATGACGTCACTCACTGGCCAAACTCAAAATATTAATTATAAACAAAAATACAGAGTTTTCTTGTCTTGTAGAACAAAATAAAGATTATACTTATAGTGCAAGTAATTGTTTTAAATTGAATTTAACACAATTTAATAATTAAACAAAAGTTTGCTGGACCAGTTACCATGGAAACACAAAACACTACATATACCAATATTATGAAGCTGCAGACTCGGAGCCTGCATCTACAGTCCCCCACCGAGAGTCCCGCATTCTCAGACCCCTCATTTTTCGAACACAGCGCCTCCTGCTGTTCAAAAGATCGAATAACACCCGCACACAGAGTACAGCGCACGATTATCCAAATGCAATTAAAAACAATAGGATGCAATATTACGGTCTTCAAATAAATTATCCAATAAATATTTGCGTTCCCTGCTTAATGCAGGTGCCAAAAAACTCATTGTTACTGATGGAAGGGATACAATTACAGATTGAACTATCTTCTGAAAAATAGTCTATGTGATATTTTATTGCTACAATGTTTGGTTTTTTTATATATATTTTTTTTATTCAAAATTCAAATTCCACTTTTTCTTTCAGTTCAACCTATAATGGTCTAATTAACATTACCATGCTAACATTACAAAATCTTTTTTTTGATATTTTGAATGCGAAGCAAAATAAATCAGAATAGACAAAACAGCAATAATAAACAATTCAGTAGGCTACTTTATTTAATGATCACCTAAACATCATCTTACTGTAAAGAAAAAAGGAAGAACAAACTGTGTTCGTGATTTTACTTTTCGTCTTTAATTGCATTAAAAAAACTCATTTATAAGTCGCTTTGCATAATCATAAAATGATACGTTGCTGGAATCGGAAGGGGCAACTCCATCGATGTATGGTGTACTGGATACGATAGCACATGTCTTATGATCTTTCAAAAAGAAAGAAAAAAAATTCAAATTCATGTTGCACTGCTCTGACTGTAAGTGTCCCTTGAGATGTTTTTGAACTTTGGACAACATTGTGGGTTTGAGATATATGGGGGCACAAAATGGGCAGTAAAAATAACTGCAGCATTTATGACATATAAAAAAGTCCGAGGTTAAAGGCTAACGTTAGCTATCAAAATATTTTCGGGGTAAAGAGGGCGAAAAAACATAACGGCTCAAATCTTGTTACAAACTACCTTTAGAAATATTAAATGGACTATTCTTATTGTATCGATTAGCTAAATTAGTTTTATTAAAAAATAAATCAAACGAGCTATTACGATTCTCTAAATAAAATTGAAGACTCACTTTTTGGCTTAAGTTCTGTTTATCTGATACAATTTGATAGGAGGCGCTGACTCGAAAAACGAGGGGTCAGAGAATGCGGGACTCTGGGTGCAGGGGGACTGTAAATGCAGGTCTCCGAGTCTGCAGCTTCATACTACTCACATATACGCCTGCCATATTGCCACCCCTCAAAAATTCCTGCCCCCCTCTTGCCACCCCATAAATATATTTCTAGATCCGCCCCTGCTACAAAGTGTTTATGCCTATTAATAATTTAGCTACTTAATGCTAGAAATGAATAAATGCAGCCTACATGAGAAAAAAATACGTTACATTTACAATCGTGTAAAAACAGTGGAAGTCCCACACTTCCCGGAGCTCGTTCTCTAAACTTTGCGCACTTTCATTTGGAAATGCCAGTGGGCGAGGCCATACACGAGGGGCGTTTTCGACCGTGTTACCTGGTTTGCTCTTATGTCCCAGTGATTGTAGGGCTTGGGGTTTAGGAGTGGGGTCAGGCGAAGAGGATAATTTTGCGTTATTTATAAACACCCACACGTTTGAAAACATTCATAACTTCAGAAACGCCCGCAGTCCGGAGACAAACAGCTTCTCGCGCTGCTGTTGAAACCGAAAGTAAACTTGTATTTCCGACATTTTGTTGAAGGTAAGTTTTTATTACGGAAAAAATATCCTTTATTGACGGAAGATATCTTAGCTCGACTGTTTTTCTTGTGTAGCCTACTTCTCAGTAAGTGTAACTTTTTAAAATAATTTATATTTGCCAAATCTAACAAATGTTCAGAGGTAGATCTTCTGTTTGAGCATCTGCATGTTGAACTGAGTTTGGTTTAGATCATATAGGCCTATATTAATTGAAATGTCCGATCAGAGAGAGAGAGAGAGAGAGAGAGAGAGAGAGAGAGAGAGAGAGAGAGAGAGAGAGAGAGAGAGAGAGAGAGAGAGAAGTGAGGGACAAAAGCAATGATCATAATGGCATTATGTTTATCTGTTTTTCGAGGATAAACATAACAGATGTTTATCAGATAACAGATAATTTTAATAGCGTGCAGTGCACGCTATTAAAATATTGGATGATGCAATGTCAATATGAGAATGAAGATGAACATGACGAAGGCTGGATTTTAAAGCCGATTTCTGTCATTTAGCTAAAGTTTCACAGTATAATGAATCGATATGCTAAAACATGCAAGATCGTTATGAATGGCTATATATATGTTTGTAAAAAATACAAAGATGTGGTGTACTGTTGTTTATCACAAAAAGTCCTATTTCTCACATGAGTCATGCAGCGTTACTGTAATAATAAAGTAAAATATTAAAGAAAAATATAGTTAATGCCTGGAATAATTTTGTGCAAATATATTTGACAAAATAAACATTCGGTCTCAATTTTGAATCTAGAAATGTTTTTTTTTTTTTTTTTGTACTCATTCATACAATGATGATTATTTAATAATTATCCATTCATTCTCCAGACTGCTTGTCTATAACAGGATATTGAAGCCAGTTCCAGCATTCTAACCGATAGGTGATCACACACACACACACACACACACACACACACACACACACACACACACACACACACACACACACACACACACACACACACACACTTGACCCACCCAATACACAGATTATCCGCAGATTAACCACAATCTCTATCATTAATTGTAACAAATATTCGGCAAACTGCTTAGAAAACAGTGGCATTTCATTGACATTCCGAATCTTTTATACAGTATATTACAATAAAGCAAGACATAGCATAAGTGTGATTGTATTGTATTGTGCAGGCTATACATCAACATATTTGCTTGTTTGTAGTTTGGACCCTTTTATTTCTTGGTGAAAGTGTCTTGAGCAAAAGAAAAAGGACCTGAAAATGAAGTATGAGGTGAGTTAGTATTTCATGAAGGTGAAAGCAGCAAAACCCAAGAGTATGAAGATGTGAAGTCGAAAACTTGCACAATAAATATTCGTACTTGTACTAATATTCGTAATTATTCGAGAGAACGGCGGGGAAGGGCGCAAATGATTTGTTTTATTGGTGCTTTGCCAATGAAATGGGACTAATTTTGTCCGTGAAACCCACTGAGAAGCAAGTGCTCAAGTATGTTTTGCATCTGTGCCTGAACGCATTCAATGAACGATAGTTCATGAACGCGTTCATATTTTGGGCGAATGTGAACTGAACATACTGATGAACGTTACCGTGAACGCTCATGTTGGTGTCTGTGAGCGCACGCTCTCTCAGTTTAACTTCGTACAATAGGGTGACAAATTTTTAGAACCCGGCTAAAACCCCAGATTTTTAAATCCTGGCTAAAACACACGTAAACAGGCCAAGTCGCGAAAAAACACCCAATCTAGCAACACAAGACACCAGTGTCGCACCGCGGCCGCCGTCGACAAATGCGAGCGAGGAGGCGTCATCATTTAACCGGATTTTATGACGAGGTCGGTGAGGATGGGAAAAATCTTACATTTCTGTGCAAACTGCCCGTCGATAAAATAATTGTTGTCTGTGGTTGTATCTGTTAGCCTGACTACGTCAGACTTCCTACTTCCGCTAATTTCATTTCGCTCCTGAAGTCAGTCTGAGATAGCGGCCTATCTTTCAGTTTTCCACCGCCCTGAAAACAGCCGGCCAATCAACGAACAGAGGGCGGGCTGAGAGCCGTGACGTAGCCGCTAAGCGCCGAGGAGTACATTGTAGGTTAGAGAAATCGAAAACCGAATACCGAAACAACCGCAGAAATGGGAAACAAGACACAGGATGCAATTCGCTCTGTTATGGAGAACATTCCGGGGTTTTTCAAACTGAAGCAAAAGTCGTTTACAGCCATGTTCACTCCGGTATTTCGCTCGCATCATCAGTGTTTACAGCTAGGACCGGCGCGTGTAGACGTTTTTATTTTTGCAAATCATTATAACAAGGACAAATATTAACACTTCAAGCTTAGGCATTTAGGCTACACATTTTTTTTCAGGCTAATTGTAGTAATGACGGTTCAGACCTGTTTGGCCATAACCATATGCATAACTAAGGACATAACTTACCCCCATTCAACGTCAGTTCTCTGTCTTTTACGGCCATGACAATAACGTCGGTTTCCTCGGCTGTGAACGCTCCTTGCGCGCTCTTATTATCATAATAATAATCCACCATATTTCGTTTCGACATCCTGCTGCATTAGTCCCAGATATTTGATTCATGAACAATCTGTTCATTGTGTATGTCACGTGACAAATGAACGTAAGACTCGGAAGCAAGGTAAAGTGATTATTTATGTTCCCTGTAAATAATTTTTTACTGCATTATGATTTCTTAATTCAGAATATGATCAACATTACGTAGGTGGATGTGATCGGGGAATTTGGCTGTTAAAATTATAACATTAAGCCACTTAAATAAACAAAATGACTCGAATGACTCAGAAAATCAGTAAAATGAACTTCCTATTCATGACTCGCGAGAGCAGCGGCTCGGTCTCGCCCTCAATCGCGGCGCTGCGGGGCGGCGGAAACTAAATCATTCTTGACTCGCGAGAGCCATAGACAGTAAAGGGTGAGAGCAGGGGCTGGGGCTCGTCCTCGCGGCGCTGCGGGGCGGCGGAAGCTAAATCAGTCATGACTCGTGAAAGCAGGGCAAGCCGATGCTGCGGGGCGGCCGCAACTCAGTAATTCATATAAATAACCTAGTTTGTGAAATGTTCATTCCCAGTTGGCACACATTTTGCAGCCCTTACAAAAGCGCCGCTCCCTGTCTACAGTGGAAGTTCGATCATAGATTTGAGTTCGATGCATAATGTCTCGATGCGGCCATGTCGGCGCATAACATACGTCATAAATAAACATATCTGATTGGCTTACGGGTAACCAATGATATTAAACTTCAGAGAAGCACCCCCTTGCGAGAGAGAAAACACTTCTCTATTATGCCATTCCAGACTCTGTCTACGAACCAAAGTGAAGTAGCAGAGTCTGGTATTACCAGGCTAGTATCTGTGGCAATAAAAATAAAATTAAAAAGCTCACAACATATGGAAAAAAATAACTATGAATAGTTCATTTTTGAAGTATGAACTATGAACTGAACTAGTTCATTTTAAAATGTGTGAACTGAACTTTGAACTAGTTCATGTAAAAAGTGAACTTTCCTAACACTGTGCATCAGATATATCATTAGAATAGCAAAAGTGTGTCTGTCATTGAATTTTTGTGAATGGTGTTTTACACATTTGTGTCTGCAACAGATTCAGAATACAGGTTTGTGACCATTGTCTGCGAGTGCAAATTTCAACATTCAACCTCAGATTTTCACATCGGAACTGTGTGTACATTTTTGTGTACAAATATTTATTGTACAAGTTCTCAAGTTTTTCTACTCTTTTACCTTCATAGTATTTTACCCCCTCTGGATTATGTGGTCATTGTACAAGACATAATAATTGTATTGGTGTTTTAATTGACTGAATTCTACATGGTTTTATGTATTTTAGAGGTTTCAGAGCCCAGAGTTGTTGAGAGATGAAGATGAGGATTGTCGGCTGCTGTTGATTGGTAAAACAGGATCCGGGAAAAGCGCCACAGGAAACGTCATCTTTAATAATGGAGTGTTTTTGTCCCAGAACAGCTCTTCATCAGTGACCAGAGTCTGTCAGACACACACTGGAGAAGTTGACCACAGAAGCGTGACAGTCATCGATACTCCAGACTTCAGATTCTCCACTCACACTGACTTTGATTCAGACTCGGAGCTGAAGAGAGCTCTTAGATTACGTTCAGCAGGAGTTCATGTCTTTCTGCTGATTCTGCCGTTAAGCACTTTCACTGAACATGAGAAGGATTTCATTGATTGGTTTGAGCAGAAGTTTGGTGTCGAAGCTCTCAGATTTACTCTAGTGCTCTTCACTCATGCAGATCAGGGACACATGAGATCACTAGCAGAAATGATCAGGGCAAATCCTCAATTATCTGCTTTCATTCGCCGATGTGGTCAGAGATATCATGAGTTTAACAATAAAGATCCAGCAAACAGACGACAGGTGACTGAACTCATGGAGAAGATCGACACACTGATAACTGAGAACACAAACTCCCGTTACACACTAGAAATGATGCAGGAGAACGACAGGAGAAGAGAAGAGGAAAAGAGAGAAGAGGAGGAGAGGAGAGAGAGAGAACGTCAAATGAAATTAGATGGAATCAGACGAGAGACAGACATGCGAGTGAGGAGAGAATATGACGAGGAACGAGACATAAGACCAGAGAGCCCAGACAAAATGGAGAAGTGTAGGAAGCAGATAAAGCTGAAATATGTGTGTGTGTTTCTGTTTTTTGCTGTGGTGACTGGAGGTGTTTCGCTGTGGAAGGAAGACTCTTCTCGTGGATGGATGTTCACTAAGGGTTTCTTGTCTGGAGGATCAGCATCAACTGCAGGAGTTTTGATAGGGAATCTCTGGAGATTGATGTTGAAGAGTCAGGTTATCCGTTCATGTTCTCACGAGCGTCCCAGCGCTGTTAGACAGTTACTGCTGAAGACAGGAGGTGTTGTGTGTGGTTTATCAGCCGGAGCTGTGATTGGTCACATTATAGGAGGAAATGAACTTCCTGTTACAGCATTAGCAGGATTAGCTGGAGCTGCCGGAGCTTTTGCAGTTATACAGTGAAGATGCTCGCTTTACAGCCGGATTCAATCATTTTAATTACAACGTTTTTTAAGTAAAGTAAAGTTTAAATAAAGCCAATTTTATTGTCAATTTAACAATAATTAATATTAAATATGCCGTATTTTTTATTTTATTTTTTTGGTTAAAAATCAACAACATAAGACATTAGTTTTCACAACTGTCACCATGCCCTTATTTGCAACTGTAAGCTTGTAATAATGATTTACAATTTGAATTGTCAGAACTTATTTTATGGGGCATTAATGCCATTCTTTAGTTTGATGTCTTTCGTTTTTCCATGGTTACATCATATCAGTAAACAGAAAGAAGAAATATGGTTTCTATATGCCGTGTATGTGGGGTGTTGTAGCTTGTTCCTACAAGAGTTTTTTTTACAGATTTAACTTTGGCCTTGTCCACACGGACCAGGGTCGGCGCTATGGTGGGGCATTCGAGGGCCGTGCCCCCCCTAGCGCTCATTGATGCCCCTCCTACCACAGTTTCTAATACAATGCTAAATCATAAATCAGATGTAGGCTATACAATACCAAATGTCCAGCAATCTATTTGAATAGCACATTGTGTTTAATTTGTTGTCTAATTGGATGTAATGTGTTGGTGCCAAGAATTTTCACGTGAAGAAATACATGCATCCAATTCTATTTTTTATCGCAAGTGTTGTTGGTCCAGTGGTAGAAATTTAGACTGGCATACATGAGATTGTGGTTTCGAGTCCACACTCGTGTAGATATTTTTTTCCCCCCATCATTATAACCGATTATGTTTATCAGTGGTTGTCAAGCAGGGACATGTTTGAGTGCATTTTACTTGTACGAATAGAGATTTCGCCGCAACAGATCAAGCGCGTCCGTGTGAAGATGTTTATTGTGGCAGCGCGAGACACAAGATAACACTTTATCAGCACCACAGATCGAGTCAACGAGCACTTTGATCACTTGATTTAAAAAACAACACATTTCAGCGTGCTATATCGCCTCTTATTTAACAAATGAATGCTCTGTAAACCGGATATTTATTTGTATTGGTACATCCGTGCCGCGAGATGTATAAAAGTGCTGGGACAACATCGACCCTGGCAAAAAGTGGTGGGGAAATTCGCAAATAATAATTTTAAATAATAATTATAATAATAAAAGGTGTTTCGTTTTTTTTTTTTTGCTTAAACGGCAGTGCCCCCCCGCTGATGACCCAATGCCCCTCCAGTAGATCTGCTCTGGCGCCGACTCTGACACGGACACAGTTTTATAACCGTGACTTTTTTTATGCGGTTCGGCCGCTCGTCCACACGGACACTGAAACCGAACATTTTTTAAAACCCCTGCCAGGATGAGGATTTTCAGGAACGCCGGTTACAGTGTTGTCGTGTAGATGGTAAAACAGGGGTTTTGCCTTGTGACGTCAGAGACTGCGCCGTTATCCGCTATGGTTATCCGCATACCGGAACCTTTTTTAACTTTTTGTCAGGCGTCTGACTGGCCAACGTGACTTTATGGTCAGGGTTATATCGCCGCCTGCTGGTGTGTCATGTTCTTGACAGCGCAGCGCTTGATTGCGTGTTTTTGCGTTTTCATGTGGTTTTTTTTTTTTTTTTTATACCCCGGTTATAAAATTACCTGTGTCCGGTTGGACAAGGCTTTTATCTTGATCTCTGCTTTAACTGGTAAAGTTCTCATTGTCAATCAATCATCATTAACATATGCATAACCTGCTGTGGAGAGAGAAAGCATCAAAAGCCAGTGTTAAAAAGTGTGCAAGCCAAGGGCCTTAAATATCCACATGGCTTTTGTGAAGCGCAGACAACTCCAAGACTGACGCAAAAGACGTCTTGTTTCTGCTGAACACACACAGTGGCTTACTTTAGAGTACTGACACATGCGTATGTGAATCTAAAATGACAGATCTGCTCCGCCTCCGATTCATCCATGCAGAATAGCAAAACAAAGCACAACCCACACGCAAAAATAACACTCTAACTCGGTAACTTTGCATATTATGCATTTTGCATAAACTTAGCATTTTGCAAAGTTGCATTTTGTATTTTATGTTTCAAGCTGAGATGGCGATAGAGGGGCAAAAGTAGGCTAATGTCCTGCAGCTATAATTGATGTTTTGAAATGTAATGAACAAATTTCAATATTAATTTCTGCTGATTCTTTAATGTTTAGTCTCTGATGATGTGTTTTCAAGAGCAGTACAGATAAAAAAATTCATAGACTTAGATAAATGTGGTGTTTTTATAATGGATTAATGACTGTTGTGGTAGATTAAAGCATTTTATTTTTTCTTCATCATCATTTATTAGAATGACGATGATGATATTGAAGGCCTACATAATATGTAAACCATACCGTTTGTACTTTTACATTACTGTGGATTGATGTTCATATCAATGTATCTTAATAAAGCTAGTACTTCTACTTAAGTGTGGTGCTTAAAGAGCACTTAAACTTCTACTCAAGTCACTTTTTTGATGGAGCACTTGTACTTTTACTCAAGTCTGGGTTTCTAGTACATCTCTAGTGCTGAGTCATCAACCAAAAGCATGATATCACCTGGAACGAAGTTACGAGATGGAGCTGACCATTTTTGTCGCTCTTGCAGTTGAGGCAAGTACTCTGTAAAAAAGGCCACGAAATCGACCCAAATCGCGGAATTTGATTCGTGGTGAAGGTCTCAAGCGTGTTCCGTCTTCTCCATGGCAAAGTGATGTTTAATTAAATGCAATACATTTAATCTTATGTATTAACTCGTTTCATCTGACTCCATAAAATGAAAAGGGTTTATCAATGATATCTGTGCATCATTTAATAAGTTAATGCTTGACTATTCCTTTTAACTCTAATGAAAATAACATCAAAGTCTGTTAGAATAGCCAAATATCACAATTTATTATGTCAGGTAAATGTTTCATTAGAATTCCACAAGATAATCAGAGCAAACCATTAAATGTTTTAGAACAAAGAACTTTACCCAACATATTACATGAGCTGAGCCTAGACACAACATCATGGGCTGATCTGAATACAGAAAGCAGCCCCGAACTCTTGTTCCATCTCCCTTTATAATCAGACCTCACCTGATATGTAAATCACCAGGATACAATGGACTGAATCCCCCCACCAGTCTTACTGGGGGAAGGAGAGTTTGCATTCAGACAAAAGGTAGAAGGTGATTAACTCAAAGACACACCCTTTTGTGTGCAAGATATTTCTATATTCTTAAAAACCTTATTGCCTTTTCTTTTACTTCTTTGGAAATGAGACATTATTACCAGTCACCCTGAGACCATCAAAATGATTCTAAACAATATTCACATTAAAACCATATTCTTGTGTGAGCTTTCAGTATCATTGACTGAGAGAGTGAAAGAGAGAAGATGCAGATAAGATGTTCAGAGAATAGGGGGTAGGGTGTCAAATGTTAATTTGCAAGCAATGCCATTTGTCTTTAGAGGCCACTGGTCAGATATTTTCTCTTTAACCAGTTTTTCCAGTCTTACAACTCCTTTGTCCATCGTTTCCAGAACAGATCTGATATATATTGTGCACGTTTCCATCGATGACGAGCATATAGATCCTCCTCTTGACAGACTCCTGGTGGCAATGATGGGGTAGTCTTTAACAGCAGCAGATGATTGGGTGTCAGTGCTTCCAAATCATTGGCGTCAGTAGATTCCTTACTAATGGGACGTCCATTAATAATTGCTTCTTAATTCGAACTTATTCATCCCTATACTCCATCCAGAAGCCTAAGATCCCACGACCAGGCTCTGCTGGTAGTCCCTCGTGTCAGACTCAAGCGCAGAGGGGAGCGTGCTTTTGCTGTGGCAGGGCCCCGTCTGTGGAACACCCTGCCCCTAGAGATTCGAACGGCCCCAAACCTGTCTATTTTTAAATCTTTGGTGAAAACCCACCTTTTCTCTTTAGCATACTGATCTCCTTTTAAGTATTTTATTAGGTTATAACTGGGTCCCTGACAAGGCTATTTGTAGCTTTGCTGCCTTTTATGTTTTTTTTTGTTGTTTTTTTTGTTTTGTTTTTAATTCTGTGTTCTGTAAAGCACTTTGGTCTGTCTGAGCGGCTGTTTAAATGTGCTATATAAATAAATGAACTTGAACTTCTTCACATAGAACTGTATAAAGGCCTTCTTCATCAAGGTTTTGTGTTCTTAAAGGGTTAGTTCACCCAAAAATGAAAATTCTGTCAGTATTTACTCACCCTCATGTTGTTCCAAACCTCTATGTGTTTATTTGTTCTGCTGAACACAAAGGAAGATATTTGGAAGAATCTTTTAATCAAACAGATCTCAATCCCCATTGACTACCATGAATTTTTTTCCTACTACGGTAGTCAATGGGGAATGAGATCTGTTTGATTAAAACATTCAAAGGGTCTTAAGCCATTGGCACTCTCTCTGTATAACCTTTAGAAATAAGGTCTTTCATGAAAACGTCTTTTTTCCTCTCGCGATAAGTCATTCCAAAAATCATGGCAACGGACTTACCGCAGACATTATTATTATTAATGGAAGGAGACGTGGTGTGTTATCCAAGCTTTAATGGCAGGGAAAGACACGGAGTCCCTGGTGTTTCTCCCTTATTTCTGCTTCGATGTCTTGATGGCATTTCTTCGAGGTTTAGAGAGGCTATTCCAGTAATTATTATTTCTTTTCTTTTTTTTAAATGAATGAATTTAATAAAGAACTCTATCTCGTATTATGTCCAAAGGGTCGTTGCAAAACAAAAATGAACGGTTGTTGTACCGCTCTTAGTCACAACACGAAGGCTGAGGTTCTTTTAACTGATGTTTAATGCTCTCTGGACTCAGACATCAACACCGTAGAACTAAAAGGATGAATATATAACCAAAACATATCACAGTCAGTTACATGGAAAACACACGACTTTAAACTCGTACATAAACAGAAAATACCACTTTTGCCTGCTTGTGAGCTAAGAGAGGGGGTTACATCTTGAAGCT